TTGGGGGTTTAGGGGCTAAGGGTTTAGGGGTTTAGGGGTTTAGGGTTTAGGGTTTAGGGTCTTATATCGAATCGTGCGTGGCCTTTAGGGTTTCTAGTCTTTGCAAGTAGAGACGCAATCAAGAAATTTCAACTCCTATCGGAAAGTGTCAGGCAAAAACTAGGGTTGCAGTCGACAGCTGAATCAAACCGGCTCAATGGCTTAGAATGTGGCCCGCCAGCCCACCACCCTCAGCAAATGGGGGTACGGGTAGAGCACAGATTGGCGCCTTGGCCGGCAGAGTTACCGTCACTTTGATAGCCTCCGTGCATCCCAGCAGAAGCCATACCAGTACCTGTGGGAATTGTCACTTGACTTCTTATGTGGCTGATATTGTGGGGAGGGCGGAAGGTGGGGCGCATCATCAACTCACGCCCTGCAGCCAGGGAATACATGCCCTTCTTCGTAGCTACTGTGAAGCACAGAGGAAGACACACCCGTCCGCCGTGGATCGTGTAGGGTGTGGTGCTGAGAGAACTGCAGCAGCATCTTTTGCAAGCTGGGGCACGTGTCTACATCTGGTTGAGATCTTCATCCTTTGACCTTTGCGCTCTTCGGGGCATGTGGTTTTTATGCAAGCTTCGACATGGCCAGGCTGAATCCAAACGCTTGTGGCATCACGCGCTGTTCTTTGAGCCGGAGCCGCCGTCCCTCGCAAAGGGATTCCGGTTTCATGGCCTGCTCACCTTTATTTGAGCCCAAAGCTACATGCCGAAGCCGAGGGGTATCACGTCTGCCGGCATTTGTCCCTGCAGTGCAGCACATGCTACAGACTGATAATAATGAAACAACAATGGAACTAATAATAACAATAATACAAATAAGTAATAATGCTAATGATACAAACAACAATAATGAAACTAAAGCTGATAATGATAATGATAGTCATCCTGCGAGCATGCATGGCATGATCTGAGGCTGGCACTGCCTCAGTTGCACAGGCGATGTTGATATCAATCCTCCACTCATACATGGAAGTCAGTGTGGCCAAGCACCTCTCCCATACTGCACTGGTAGACAAAGCCGCGATCACTGCCCCAAAACAAACCACATCCGGCGTCATCAGGGACTGAAGCTCACCGAACAGCTTCACTGCAGAGGCCCACTGACCACCGGCACCACATGCGTCGATGGCAGCTGTATACAAAGCTGGAGACGGCTTCACACTCAAGTGGCGCGATGATTCCAGCAAGTCCAACGCATGACTCCACCGTCGAAGCTGCGAAGATGCGGTGATGGCTGCCAAGGTCCCACTCATCGAAAGCCATGCTACCAGCCACTTAGCTACCCAAAATCGGGAAATTGCAGACTGCCATTCGCACTTCACCTATGATGACATGATGCTGCAGCTTGAAAGAGCCGCAATGTTCTTGGCCATGAAGGTGCTTGTGTAGCAGAGGCTGCGGTCATTGTTCGAACGCATGTGCAAGTGCACACTTGGTGCACGAGACCTTCCCGGGAAAAGTCAAGCAGAAATGGCCGGCAAGCACAGGACAAGAGACGGATACTTGAAGAGGAGCCAGACAGAAGGGCAGAGTCTGATAAACAGTGTTGGGCTCCTTCCTATCGTTTCGCAATGGCACGATGCACGCGGGAAAGCTGTGTCATGCATGCTTCACCAACGGTGACCTTCAGGCGATTAAGAAACTTGGTGAAGCCGAAAGGTTCATAATCCTGCGACGTCTCAAGTTAAAGTTGGCGAAACACTGGCACAGAGGTTCAACAGACCTAGCCACTGAGAAGTGAAAGCTGGGATCTTTGTCATACCATTTCAGAGCCCGGCCCAAGAACTCCATGACCTCCAGTGGCATCTTGATCCGTCTCGGGGAAGTTCCGCAAGTATGCGAGGAGGTCTGGCAAGCGAAAACTTCAATCACCCAATCACCGCTGACAGAGCAGGCAAACACAGCAACAGGTTGTTTAGGGTTGAGGGTTTGGGGTTTCGGGGGCAACAAGGGAAGCCGGCGCACTTAGGCACACGTCGCCCCGACGCGCGGCACACTCGCTGTTGAGCTCGCGCACAGCGTCCGCCCATCGCCTCTGCAGAAGCAGCACTGTGGTAGCTTTCACAGCACCCAGAATTGAACTCATCTGAACTCGAACTCGAAAACCCAAAGCCTAAGCCCAAAGCCCGTAAACCTCTAAAGCACTAAACCGTTACACCCCACTAGACCTCGAAACCTCTCAACTCCCAAAACATCGCAACCTCGAACCCCTCTAAACACCCAAAACCTCTAAACCTCTAAACCCCTAAAACCCCCAAAACCTCTAAACCTCTAAACCCCCAAAAACCCTTAAAAACCCTAAGAACCCCTAAACACCCCTTAAAAAAACCCGAAAAAAAACCCTAAGGACCCCTTAAACATCTAAACGCCGAAGACCTTTCGGGCCTCAACTCGTACAGGTAGCTGCCACCAGGGGCCATGGGCCCATCGGGGCCTGAGCTCCACCAGCTTTTTCGGGGGTTGTGGGGTTTAGGGGTTTTTCGGGCTTAGGTGTAGGGTTTAGGGTCTAGGGTTTAGGGTTTAGGGTGTAGGGCTTAGGGTGTAGGGTTTAGGGTTTAGGGTGTAGGGTTCAAGGGTATAGGGTTTAAGGGTTCAAGGGTTTAGGGAGTAGGGCGGAGGTTCTAGGGTTAAGCCATGTCAAGGCTTCAGAAATGAGGACCTTGCGATGTCGAGTCTATAAATATAAGTGTAAGATTTAAAAGAATCATGCTAGTAACCGAAACAGTATTAGTAATAGTTACATAACCTTACTGGTAACAGCAACAGCAATAGCAATCTTCAAGCTGGCCTCCCTTTTCACACAGCTTTGACATCTTCATGCTGACACTCTCACACAGGGCCTTCACCTCCCCGTGGTCAAGTCTTATTCAACGTATACCATGCTGCAACCCACTCCAGCGACAAGAACTGGCTGAGGATAGCTGGCGGCTTGCCTTGTGGCAAGCCGATGCAACGGGGAGCGTCAGAAAATGAAGGAACCCTTCTATTTAGATTTGATTTCCAGATAAGGGTTCCTGATTTTCCGGGACTCCCGAAGGATCGACATGGAGGACGGAACGGGCGTTTGCGGTTCGTAGCCTCGCTATGCAGAAACATCGAGGAAAATCACAAAATCCAGGAACTTTCATTGCCAGTCGGCACAAGCATCCTGGTCAATCTCATATGGATTGACTGACACAGAGTGTTCCGAAGGGGGCCAATGATTCCAAGACCACTCCACCCCTGTCATAACTCAGGATTCTTCCATCGAATCGAAGTGTTTTGGCTCCCTGGTTGAAATGGAGCGGTCGCTGACTTGTGCAGACCATTGCTCTACAAACTGCTGATGCCGTTTTCCGGCACCATGCATGAACTCTAGACTCTAAACGAGCTTGCAAGCAGAACTTGAGGAAAAACTAGATTGCTGCGCGCGTTCCAACAAGAGTGCCCGACACGAAACTCCCAGTCTTTCATCCACGGCATTGAGCATTTCAGAAAGTGGTGACACAAGACATAATAGCTAGTGCTCGATAACACATGATACAACAACACCTACCGCTGGGCACGCAGGCTGATTTCTGGCTTCAGCAGCATCGGTCCTGCTCGAAACAACTTAGAAGTTGCCTCCACTATGAGATTCCTGAATTTCGCGGTTACGTTCCGCTCAGGTTTATACAATATCATGGAGCAGCGGCTGCCGCAAGAAATTGCAGCCTGGACAGCGCGGACGACAAGAGAGGTAAGTGGAGCACTGCACTCATATGCGCGCATCATGTGCTCTCGTGGATCACGGGCCTCGTTGCTTCTGGAAGTTCACCGCTGCAAGTTCATCGCATGCTGCCCTGCATACGGGCCGATTTGTTGGGCGAGATTCGGCGGCAAAACCTAAACAAAGGTTCTGTCATTGATAGGTATACCGACCCGAGAATGTAGGATGCAAAAGAATATGACTGCGCTAAACAAAGGTTCAGTCATTGATTGACACGCATACTGACCCGAAAATGTGGGATGCAAAAGAAAAGCTAATGACTGCGGTCACTAAGAAGTCACAATGTAACGTAATGTGATACAAGACCATATACAATGTAGTATATAATACAACCCTCGATGTAGAAGCCTTTCATTGCACTCGCCGATGCCAAAATCAAGACCACTCAGCGAACCCACTGTCGTCTGGACATCTTTTGGTTTAGGCCTACTAGAAGCAGCAAGAGGAATAGTCACACTAATCGCATTAATAATAATGATACCAGTAGCAATAGTATTGTAAACAAAGGAACGAATAGTGTGGAACGTCTGGAAGATCGCTGCTGGATGCCAACTCTTTCAGAGAGCTGTCGTCTTTTCTGCTCGCGGTGCAGTACCAGACGTCTGCGAAACACGGCATGTTCCGAGGAAATCACGAGAGCTTATGGGCCCGATTGAAGACCGAGCTGCAAGGCCCATACGGTTCAGGGTTATTCAGGGTTTAGGGATTGAAAGAAGCCACTTGCTGGCTTCCCACAACTTCAAGAGAGGCATCTTTCAGTTGCGATTCACAACCACATCATTCGTTGGTGGGGTAACCTTTATCCGGAAAAGCCGAGATTCGGACTTCCGATCAAGCACCAAAACAACGGCCGGAGAACTCTGGTATCACATGGTATCACAGCATGCTGACAATGCTGCCACTGATGCTGCAGGATGTTGCTGCATTTCTGTGAACGGTCTCGACAGATGCAACCAACCACTGCCTGACAGGTTCAAGTTCCTGGGAAGCCAAGCTGTGTATGGCTGGTGCTTGATTGCCGTGTCTGAAGCCGCAATTGATGTTGTGACGAAACCATCGGTTGTTGCCACTGGCATGTTCACGGATTGGATTGCTTCGTTTTCTTCGATTCTGTGCTGCAGCTTTCTGAAGCGCAACTCTTTTCCGGATGATCACGGAGAAAAAAAACAAACTTTGTGAAGAAGCACGGAGGACTCGGCAGACCCGAAGCCAAGACCCTGCGGATCGGTCTTATATCTTATATCTTTTATGTTTGCTACTATATTTTTATCGTATATAACTATGTACTATACATTGTAAGATGTCGTCGACCGCATGAGACTTGGAAGCGAGCGAGTGGCCCTGATGCTGGCGGAGCGGGGAAAACACTTCCTGTGGAGGCACACACACACACACACAGAGACACAGACTCGAATTCGTGCGCCAGGTCCCAAATGAAAGGAGAATAAAGGGACGGTTACAGTCACGGGTGGCAGGATTTGCAGGACGGCTCAATGCTGTACTTCGGACAAGAAGGAACTGTCTTGAATCATGCCGGGGTAAGGATCTCTTGCTTCTACTGCTTGGATACAAACCAGGAGCTGGCCAAGCCGGCCCGAAAACCATCCTTGATATTGGATGGTTTCGACTGTTGGGGTGGCAAAGTTGAGATTTCATGTTTCGGAACCAAAGATTTCTGCAATCTGGTTGTCAGGGAGGACCCATCCCGTCATGCCGCTGCCAGGTTGATTCGAGTTAGCTCAACACATACTCAAAAAGATAACTTCTCACTAGCAGAGATCCGCGGAGCCCAGTCATTGAGCAGTTGTCCAGAATGGTTGATGTTGCTGCTTCAAAGTTTGAAGCGAGACTGATTTAGAGCCTGGGCCTAGGTCATTTCTTTCCCTTCGGCTAGCTCCCCTCACAGAGTCTGCTTGATGCACACAAACACAGGCAGTGCCTCTCTGAGTATGTGCTCAAAGATCGGTCGGAGGCATTCTTTCTCAACTGCGTCCAGCCGGACCAACCTCAAATTTGCAGCACCGCAAACTGTAAAGGCATCTTCTTGCGCAACAGACACGACATGAAGCGAGGCATGTGCTAAACCAGCTCGCCTGCGAAGATTCCGTTCTCCTGGCGGCACATCGTCAAGCGTTCTGTGATGCACTTGGCGGCTCTTCGACGCTCAGTTGTTGTTGTTTCTGGCCGATTTTCCACGGGTGCGGAGTCTTGCGGTCTGCTCAGCAAATTCGAAGAAGTTCAGAGCCCGTTGCACGGGCCGATGTGGCTGGCTCTCTTGGACACTCAGTTGCATTTAAGCCAATAAAAACATCCACCCTGTTAGGAACCCGGCTCTTTCATTGTCGATCTTTGTTTGGGGAAGGGTGGTGGAATGAAGATACCGCTTCAACAGATAATGGGTAGAAGCACGGCTTTTGAGCGCCTAGATAATTATGCACAGAAGTGCTACCACAATTGTTGCTGTGACCGCTAAAGAAGAGGACAGACAGATCGGGCCTATGCCAT